TCAGGTTATTATTGGTTAGATATCTCATATTAGCATAGGTAGGACCGATACCGGTTTTAAGTTAATTTCAACTTACTTATTTTTACAACATTATGCCTGATAGACTATTGGGGCATAAGTAAAGACTTTCCAATTTTAAGACTTAGGGTATGATAAAAAATCCTTTTATCAGTGTTCCGCATTTATCTAAGCAATGAAAGTATGTGCATTTCACTGTTTTTCATATTGGAATATATGTATTTCTTTGTTTACCCCTGACCTTGGTGGGATGCACACACATACACACAAACACAAAAGAATCCACACACATTGCTTTGAGGATAGGTACTATAGCAAACAACCTAGTAAAAATAAAACAGCATTCATTTATTGAATACATACTATGCTCTTAGTGCTATAGTAAGCACTTTCCACACAGTATTTTGTATTTTGCTCAGGAGATCCCTATGAAACAGGCGATGTTATCAGAGACGAGAAAATGGAAACTTGAAAAAATTACCCAAGGTCACATAGCTGATGAGTTATACAGGGATGTGCCAGTTATCAACTCACCGCCTCTAAACAATTGGTTGTGATACTAGAGTGTTTCTCTTTTGCCGACTGGAATGATGCTAAACTTTGTCAGTAGAGGGCACTGGAGTAACACTGGGGGAAGTAAAGACTTTTCTGTTTCACTTCTCTTTTGCTTCCGTGGCTCTGTGTTGACCCATAGGATACCTAGCGAAGCTTAACTCCTCTGTTCCCAACTCTCCCTCCCAGAAATTTCAGCATTACCCTCTACTGATGCCTTCTGACAAGCTCTGCACGTGCCCCAGTAGCAGGTTCATCATGGGTGGCAAATCCATAGGCAGCTTCCTGCCGTCCAAGCTGGTTTCCCTAAGTTCAATAGCATTGGCCACAGGTAGTTTCCTAGCAAACGCAACAGGCACACCCTCCGGCCTCCCAGCAATTCAAGGGCATCCCCCACAGGCTACTTCCCCGTGAATTTTATCCGCACTGCACTCCAAGATTCTGTTGACACAGGCTTCAGCCCACTGACTATGTACTAGCTCTGGTGGGGTCAGCCCAGACAATTTCTTTGCAGTCTCATGGGCTGGAGTCACACTCTTGCCAAACAGGTTTGAATCCCAGTCTTGTGTAGAGCTCCTCGCTTTCCTCATCAGTTCCTTCCTTGGGTACTATGCCTCCACCTTAGGGTATTCTTTTTGAGTTGTCTTCTGTTTTCTCTTAAAAATTAATTCCCAGCAGATAGTTTATAGTTACTTGTATTAAACCTTCCCCGTTCAAGTTACTGTGTTGTTTCTGTGACCTGTCTAACCCTAATACCGAGAAAGGGACTAGCGCAACCGAAGTTTTTGTGATTCAATATTCAGTGATTTAACAACTCAGTTTGGATACAGCAGAGTAGGTGTTCAAACAAGGTTTGTTTCTGAGGTGAATTTTTATTCATTTGGGGAAAATGCCTGGTTCTGCACCAAAGACCTTTGCGATACAGGTCAAACAGAAGTCATTTTTGTGTTACTCAAGATATGCAAGAATATTACATAAATGAGCCTGATGCCAAGGTCGGGTCAGAGAATGATCTGTCCCTAAGGATAGAATAGATAGACTGCACACTGTTAATGATTACAATTTGGGCCTTTTCACAGCTTAGCCAGGGTTGGTTTTTACAACATGACTTTTGATTTTTTTGCTTGAAACACGATTTCTGACTTGACACTAACATTCAAATATAAATAAAAGCACACTCCAACTCTGCATCAAACTCCAAATTTAAATGAACTTTGAATTAGTTACCACCTATGAGTAACTCCTCTTATTTACATCCAGTAACAGAGCAACAAGAGTGAAAGGCCAAGGGACTGTTTGCAATCCCCTTTCCAACCCTTTGTACTGATATAGATAAAGGCTGACTAAACTACTCAAGAAAGAAAGTGGCAGGATTCAAAACCATTCAGAAGATCCCTGCAAGCGACCTTCACACTCATCTGCCCCACCGTCACCTACCCCTCTGTGAGATCCAGGGGTTCTCCTATTCCAGACTTCTTTCCAATTTACAAACGTGATCAAACTTCTCCCCCACTGAAATAACCAAAGGTTTCCTGCATACTTTCCTAACATAGGATCGTAGCTTAGGGGGATACCATCCCCCTTAGGATCTTTCTTTCCCTCTGTAGCCAATGGTGCAAACTTGCCTTCCCCCTCCTCTTCCCCAATGTCTTCTGTAATGCCTCGGCATTGTTATCACTGTCCCCAGGGAAACTCCATCAGAAGTGTTGTGGTAAATGTCGTAAGTTATGTCCTTTTTGCCCAATTGTGTCTTCACCTTACCAGGCCCCTCTATTGTATTTGACAATTTTTTCATGCCTTGTCTTAATAAACTGGTACCTCTTAAGCACCCTGCTTTCAACTTGAGTCTCCTTATACCTCCGTGACCGTTCATTCTTGTTGCCTTTGTCAACACCATTTCCTAACCCTTAATTTTATGTATAATGCCTAAATACTGTCCGTGATTCATTTTCTTTTGGCTTACCTGGGGTGATGCCATGAACTTTACAGTTTTAACTAGCACGTGGCCTGGTAAATCCTACATCTGTAAAACTAGTGTGGATCACTCTAACTCCAGACGTATGGATGGATCTCTCTTTTAGTGACTTACAGAATATCCCCACCTAGACACCTTGTTGGTACTAGTCAACTTCGTTGATACCCTACCACATAACCCCTTACCCTCAATGGCTCTGAGTTCACCTGAAGCTATGGTGGCCAGTTTCTGCTAGCACTATAACATTCTCCCTGTAAGCACACACGCTTCATACTTTGACTGCCCTCAACAGCCCAGAAGTGTTGGGATTTTAAGCACCTGAGGGCAATCCTCCAACAAAAAGAGAGGGAAATTGGTGAATAAACACTCGAATTTCCATGAGCTCAGGGGGACAATTCTGAGCATGTTCTGGAGCACTGGTGTTCTACATGATTTCCATAAAGCTTCCAGTTGGACTACCCTGTCACTTACAGTGGAAACTCACAGATAAAAGTACCCTTCATCAACCTTCCAAGCTTTCATTCCGCCATTCCCCCCCACTCCCTCACTTGTCCTTCTTGGTATTATCTTCCAAACTGACTACCAGCGCCCAAGTCCTTGACTCAGGGATTGCTTTTAGTTGGTATCAAACTTAAGCAGGCACTTCAGGATCAATGGAGATAAAAAGTGACATGTGATTTTTCACCTCCAAACTTGCTTTCTTTTTTCTTATTTTCTCCATCTTGTTTATGAAAAATAAGAGATACCCAGTCATCTGAATCAGAAACCTAGATGGTCTCCTAGATGTTTCATTTTCACTGTACCTGTCACTACTGCCCTTGCCTTCAACTGAGCTAAAAATATCACTAGTTCCTTGGTCTCACTACCTGCCATCCCCCTATCTCTTATACCACGTACCCTCCATAGCCTCTGTGGGGGTAATGTGATCTGAATGAGGCACCTCTCTTCTCCTTCCCCCTTACATTTTAAACCCTTCAGTTGTTTCCTGAGTGCATGGTTATAGACCAGACTGTTTGAGAAGCAGAGATCTCTGTCAGCAGCCCTGCTCCTGCCTACTTGTTCAATACTGCCTTCAGACGCTCCTCCACCTGTACCTTATGCTCCAACAAAACCAAACGTTTTGCAGATGTGCATATATAACCCCCCTCATATTTCCAAGTGTTTGAACGTGTATGTCTACCCATCTGGAATCACCCTCTTACACTTGCCCATTTGGCAATCTCCTACTCTACTTTTAAAATGTCATTTACAGTGAATTTTCTCTAGGAAAGGTACGCCAAACGCCTTCCAATGCCGACCCACACAGGTGTGCACCCTTTTTCTGGGTTCTCTAACCCTCTGCGATTAACATTTTAAACACACCTTTTTGCATCTTATAAGGATACTATTTGTTTTATTTTTTTTTTTAATTTTTTTTTCAACGTTTATTTATTTTTGGGACAGAGAGAGACAGAGCAAGAACGGGCGAGGGGCAGAGAGAGAGGGAGACACAGAATCGGAAACAGGCTCCAGGCTCTGAGCCATCAGCCCAGAGCCCGACGCGGGGCTCAAACTCACGGACCGCGAGATCATGACCTGGCTGAAGTCAGACGCTTAACCGACCGCGCCACCCAGGCGCCCCTGGGATGCTATTTGTTTTAATGTCCCGAACACACTAAGAGATCAGTGGCTTTTTGTGTAACTACTCAGTGTCTATAAGTAATGAAGAAGAAGAACTTTCCCGACTTATTACTTAACCTTAGAACATGGTCTCACATGTTATAGACATACTTAGTAAGTGGATATAAAACTAAACTTCATTATGACCTAAGTTTTTCTTGTTGACAATCCATTCTTGATTTAGGAGAGTGTACACAAAACACTATTTGATTGGGAGTAATAGGTTATTTTCTCCTAATTTTGATTTAAAAATTAAAAAAAAACCACACACCATCAATTTTAAGTATGAAAATTCCTCTGTTATATATAAGTTAAAACTCTTTAATAGTACTTGGGAAGAATTAACTATTTCTAGAGTAGTAATAGGATCACACGCACTACTAACCCATCACACATGACAATAACATGTGTGTGCATGCATTGAGAAAGGTGGACAGAGAGGGAGGAAGGTCAGGGGAGAGGGAGAAAGGGACAGGGGTACCTACACATGCTGGGTAACCTTGGGAAGGGAAAAGAATTCTGTGGTCAGTTAAGATCTGACATAGAACACTAGACTAACTTGTCTGTTTGTGAACTTGAGCACATTACTATATTTGGCACGTCTCAGTTTCCTGTTAAACCCATAGTTTATAATGTGTCTGTAAGATAAAATACTAAAGAGTGCATGTAAATAATTTACTCATGTTTAGCACGTGACAATTTCTTAAACCTGGAAGCTGAGCTAATATTGAAAGTACTCTTCATTTTATCAGAGATGGAAACCATTTGAAAAGATTTTTCACTCTTCTCGTCATACCTCTTCATGTAGTTCTCTCCAACGAGAATTAAACGTCTCAAGTTCCTCATTGATCAGTTCATCCATGACTCCACCATCTGTTAGGGTCTGTGCCAATATGCGAATCTGATTCGGGTTATCCTCTGAATGTTGCATCAAATTTTCAAGTGACTGAAACACATTTGCAATAATTACCATTTCCCTTCTTTCTCTAAATATATTGAATTAACACAAAATGCTTAGTATCTTCTTATTTACAGATCATTAAGTTAAAAGCAATTTCAACCAATACGTAATTGGGATAATCAAACATCAAAGATCATTGTTATTAAAACATAGGATGTTTTCGCAGGTATATCTTCATGGGCTTGTGGCAGGACTGTGGGCTGGGGTACTTAAAACTTATTCACAACCACCTTCTTCTGTGATGTCCTCTACTTTTACACCTGGAAAGACAAAATACTCAATTTCTCAACGTCTTTTATAGCTAGTGATGGCTAACTGACATGATTCTGACAATATACACAGGTAGAAATTCAAGAGCAGTTTCCCTTCCCAAATTAAAAAAAGAAAAAAAAAGTTGTAACATTTAGAAAAAAATCCCTTTGCCCTTCATACTTTTCACACACACCCAGCTTTTAGGTGGAGCAGCCATCCTTGGACTGAAAGGCAAGAAAGAAAAGGATGAAGTCCTTCCATCTGATAATTTAATAGGATAACTGCATCATCACACCCCCTGCTCTGGCCACCATGCTTCTACTAATGCACTGTGTGCGCTGCCTCTTTTATGGAAGATGCATCACATGGCTGATTGACAAGGAATGCTTCATCAGTTCACACCTCTGAAGAGGGCAGGACCAACATTAGGGTCCATTTCTGACCACTCGCATTGTTCTCCGATCCCTCTTCAGGTTCTACAATTCTCTTGAGGAAAGCAGTAAGTTGGATATATGATGTTTAGGTTTCTGTTCTAACATTCCAGAGTCTCAATGCTATCTAAGGAATCATTTTTTCCAATTTTCTTCCCATCTTAATTTATGTACCTCACTTTAGCATATTTACACAGGGACTGCGTTGCAAATGGGCCTATATAAAACCACACAGCTAAACTACATATTCATTATATATGAAGGGTAACCAAAAGTACAATAAGATGGACAGAACATAAATTATTGTTCGAAGTTCACATAAATCAAAGTTTATACATGCAAATTCCTTTAAATTTTACTTTTGAAAGGTCTTCAAAATAAAACTTGAGAGGGTACTAAGATTCTGTAGTACAGAAAACGTAGTACATTTTAAGGATATATTTCTAATATCAGAGCATGCCCATTTGATACTTCACAACATTGTGTAAGGTACAAATTCATGCTTTTAAATAATTTAAAAGTATGGCTCAAAAAATAATAAAAGTATATTTCAATGCAGTAAGTGTAGCTTTTACACTGGAAATAACGTTTTATATTATCGTTCCATTTAGCTCTACTGCAAAGGAGGAAGCCTGTGCATTCAAACTGTCTTTGCAGGTCTGGATGTGGAAGATTGACGCAGTAAAGAAAAGTGGCAACAGAGAACCTCATAATTCAGAAAAAGACAGATGTCCTTTGGAAGAGGTATTTAAAGCCTCTTTAAAACCTTGAAGGTTTCTAGAAGACACAAAGGCTTCACCCAAAGTGCCAGTGTGGGGTGCGGGGAGGCATTAGCAAGTATGCTCTGTACTTTCTACTTGGTACTGGGCGTCCAGTGCATATCAATTATGATCGTCTAGATTAATTCACCACTTACATCCAGCACCTCAGAGATTTCCTCAGCTCCACTAGGAATATTTTCCGTGGTTTTAAGTTTGAATTCTACTTCATTTAGCCACTTGTTTGCCTTCTCCAAGTATGACAATAATTCGTGCCAGCACGCCCAAACTTCCTAAGAAAGAAATACATAGCACAGATGAAATACTTCATACAAAAGTGACTTGACACTTTGGAATTTCCATTTGTAAAACTCTGAAAATAGAACATGTTTATTTCACATCATTCACCCTGGTCATGCTGATCATCTAATATGTTTATAATTACTAATCATTAAGGAAACCTTCTATTACAAAAATTAATTACATGGTCAGTGATTTACTTTTTCTAAATAGAAACATGATTCATCAACAACAGAGTATGGAAAATAAAAGAAATAAAAGAATACCTAAAAATGCATATACAAATCTAACATCTCAAAACATTAACCATGACCACTTTTCTGTGACCTCCTTTAAACTTTATCACATGTAAGTAATTTGATAGTTAACATTAAAGTACATATTTAGTTATAGTGCTCTTGAAACCTTACACCATACAATTTTTCCATATTACGAAGAAGACATTTTTAATGAAAATTTAAATTTCATTAAAGTGGCTATACTTTTGTTTTCTTAACAATCAACACTTTTTGGGTAGTTAGACTATTTTTAGTTTTATTCGCTATTATAAATTTGAGGTGAGCATCATCAGGGGATATGGATATTCTTCCCTATTTCAAATTATTTCTTTCAGGTATATTAAGAGGAATATGACTAGTAACTATTTCAAGACTATGACTATTTTTAAATGGCTTGCGATATGTATTTAAAAATGATGACTGTGGGGCGCCTGGGTGGCGCAGTCGGTTAAGCGTCCGACTTCAGCCAGGTCACGATCTCGCGGTCCGGGAGTTCGAGCCCCGCGTCGGGGTCTGGGCTGATGGCTCAGAGCCTGGAGCCTGTTTCCGATTCTGTGTCTCCCTCTCTCTCTGCCCCTCCCCCGTTCATGCTCTGTCTCTCTCTATCCCAAAAATAAATAAACGTTGAAAAAAAAATAAAGAAATAAAAATGATGACTGTAATAAACAAACATACTCATATATAAAAAAAAGTAAAACTCTAGGATTGCAACCAGAATACATAAAAAAGTATTCTTTGACTTTGGGTATGGAAAAGGAGATCTTAAATAAGACATTTTGTTAAAAAAAAAAAAAACACCATAAGACAGAGATGAATAAATGTGATTACATTAGAAATAAACCCTTCTATTCATCAAAAGGCACCATAAAGACATTGAAAAACAGCCTCAAACTTGAAGAAAACAATTGCAAAATTTCTAACAGGTAAGTAAGAAACGAATGCCAACAAATCAATTAAAGGTGAACAGACATCCCAATAGAAAATGAAAGGAAAATCTGAACCAGCTTTTCAAAGAAAAAGATACATGTATACCCAATAAACATATGAAAATATGTTCATCCTTATTAGTAATCAAGGGAATGTAACTCAAGATTGCAATGTGATATGCATGCCATGTTGACTGACTGACACAAGTGAGAAGTTTAACAATTTCAAGTGTAAGAGAAGATACGCATTAACAAAAATTTGTATTTATTGCCAGTGGGTGTGTAATTTGGAATGACCATTTTGGAAAACAATTTGTCATTCTCACTAAGGTGAATATTCACATAGGCAACAATTCAGCAACTCCACTGTTAGGTACACATCCTCAGAGGAACTGCTTTGTGTAGACGACAAAGACAGTTAAGAGAGTATTCATTTCAGCATTTTTTGTAGTAAACAACATTTTTTAGAATAGCCTTGGTGTCTGCTAACAGGAGAATGTATAAATACACTGTATTACATTTAAACAGAGAACATAGAAGTAAAAATGGAAATTTCATCACACAGAACAACATGGAAGAGTCTCAGACACAAAACTGTCGGGCAAAATGGGCAAGCCCTAGAAAACTAAATGTTATATGTTATGATTTGTTTGCAATGTCCAAACAAGCAAAACTGAGCAACATGTTATTTAGATATTCATATGTGTGTGATAAAACATTTTTAAGCAAAGAAATAATCAAGGCAAATTTCTGGATTATGGTTATAGATGTTGGGGAAAAAGTAGGAAGATGTGCTAGAGGATAAGAATACAAAAATGGTCATTTTCCATTAGCTTTGAGATTGGAAATATTGGGCAAACCTATAAATACAGTAGTGCAATCACCACATCCCACTATCCGCCCCCTAATACCATTAAAAATAAAGCCAAGGAAGGAAGTTTTATTTCAAGAGAAACCAAACATTCTATCAGATTTCCCATGTTTTCACTTTGCTTATAATCCATGCAAATGATGGAAGGAGGTACATTCCCTCTCTTATTGATGAAAAGTATCAGTCTTAACCTGCCTTGCCACCCAATACTACTTGTTTGGTATCTTGTGGGCAGTTTAATATAGAAAGTGAAATTAAGTATTTTGTTTTAAAAGGTGCTAGAAATCTTAAATCTGGGTCATTTCCAGCTCCTGCTGGACTACAGGCTGTCTTCCTTCTGGGCAGAGATCCCAGTGGGAAAATATAAATATCTCCTTAAATACCCGAGGGTACTTTAGAGCTTTGAAGATAAGGAGATGTGATTGGTAATGTGTCTTATTAACTTTGGTGCAGATTGAGGTAATGAACTACCTTGCTGATTTAACCATCAGGATGGATGGCCCCTTGTGTCCTCAACGTATCTGAAGGGCACAGCTGGAGAGGCTGAATGTACTGGCTTTACAGGTCACCTTTGCAAAATAAAATGTAGTCTTGCAGCCTGAATTAGGGCTAAAAGCCACTTAGAATAACTGTTAAGGTTAACAGTTTGGAACTTAAAACTACTCTGAAATCACAGAACTCACACTGGCTCTGAAGAGATTACAAACAATAAAGGAAACTTCCATTCAAAATGGTGAATTGAGCTGATGTGATAATCCCTCCACTCCCTCCTTCAGTAGTATTGAAATGCTAGATAAATTATAAAGGAAAATATTTGAGGTCATGGCTGTACTATGAAATATGAAAGTCCTTATGCAGCAGAAACAAAGAGGGAAATTAAGCACAGGGAGAAGTGGGGAGGCCGAGCTTACCAAAATACTGGAATATCAGAACAGGATATATGACATAAAAGCTAGCATATTCAACACTAACTTGGGATGAAAAGAGAGGCACTGGTCTCATGCATTTCAGGGAGATGGAAAAGCATAAAGTTGTGTGTCACCTATCCTGAAAACAAGAGCTATAAAATCCCTACCCACTGGAGTAAAAGGAATTAGCAAGGAGGCTGAGAATCCTTTGGATTTTGGTTGGAAAATAAGGATTCACACACAAAAAAGCTGCAACCTAAGTTTATATCACACCTGAGAGTAGAATGTAAGATTTCTAAGACTCTGGTAGAAACATTAGGAAAAAACTCTTAAGGACCAGAGGATAAAGGATGTCTAGTAAAACAATTCCTACTAAAGGTGAGCTCAAACATACACAAAAATTACAAGCCGTGTGAGGAAATTCCCTGCCATTCAAGACAGTCACTAGTTATACAGAATGGTAGAATCCACAAGTTATAATCTAAAGACAGTGCAATTATAAAGAATTTTATAATAAATAAGTTTACCCTGGTGTGAGAAGTTGCCAGTAGGATCTATTTTTCTTGAGATTGGCAACTAGAGCTCATACTTAAGAAATGAAAGGATTAACTTCCCTGCATTCTATGTTAGAATAGAAACTTCTGCTACATGCTTTCATAAGCTGTGGCTAAAGACAGGGCGCTGATGCAGGGGCAATGGAGGATGTGCAGGGGGGAGAACTGGAAAGTGAGGCAATTCTTTTTTTTTTTTTTTTTTGAAAGTTATCTCTACACCCAACGTGGGACTCGAACTTACAACCCCGATAAAGAGTCACATGCTCTACCAACTGAGCCAGCCACATGCCTCTGAGGCAATCCTTTTCCCTCAACTTTTTATTGCAGTGTTTAAGAGAAACGCATCTAGTCCCTTTTCTTTAAAGGATCTAAAATAATTTCACTCATCAAATGGGTGGGTACGTTCAGAAAAAGATTGTCGGTATGCATTCCCTCCTGAGCTTCTGGCATGGCCAAAGAGGAATCAAGGACAACTCTTGGAAGTTTCTAATTTCTGACAGTTATGGGAGATGGGGATCAGTCCGTGTTTGCAGGCTAAGATGAAATGTGGTGGGGAAGTAAGACTCCAGGATATCATGGAAACATGGGCTTAAAGGAAGTAACTATCTAGAGAATGTGGTTTAAAGCTACTGGCAAGAGTCAGCCTGAAATTGTGTTGAATACTCCAAGGTACCAAGAATGCAGAGAAGATCCTTTTGGGGATTCACAGTCTATATGAATATGGATCCCCAAAAGACCACACCAAGTCTATAGAGAACAAGCCAGATAAATCAGTGGTGATAACCTACTAAATCTGGTGATAACATATTCATCATAACAGGTGTCTGTGGGTGTTAATGAGAGGGTACAGCAGTTGTGACCAGCAAAGAAAAGGACACTGATATGAAGAGTATACGTTCTCCTCATTAACCTCCCTTAAAGCAACACAATATGATCACTACCCACAAACTTATTGGAAGGGAGGGACTCTACGATCATTGTTTTTCTCACTCCCACCTCTGTATAATTTGCTGAAGCCAGAGATTAGCTTAAACTAATGGAAGATGTTAATAAACTATGAGATCAAAATTTAAATAAGACTAAATTTTAATAATTAAAAGTGAATCAAAAGTCATGGTGTCAGACTGCAATAGTGATGAGGAAGCCAACTACTAGGCAGAAATTGATGTTTGACATGGTTGGTGACAGTTATTGGGAAACCAAAACTCTTTCATGCTCATGACTCACAGAGACTTCTCAACCAAAAGAACTGCATAGGTTTAAACTGTTTCACAAAAGGAATAGAATTAATTATGCATAACCAGAAGAGTGTATAAAAGAAGAGATAAACTTCAAAATAAGTAAGTAAAATCTCAGGAAATGGAAAATAAGGTTTTGAAAAAATAGAAAATTATAAACACACACATATAGAGGATGATGTGTATATAGAGATGAGTATATTTATATATCAAAGGATGAAATATACAGTAGTCAGTTGAAGAGATCATTTGAGAAATGGAAGACGGATTTCAGAAAAATACACAGAATCCAATAGACAGAAATGGAAATATAGACAATATTAAGGGGAAACCTTTAGATAATAGCATATGGTGACAGATGGTAGCCGCAGTTGTAGTGAGCATAGCACAATGTATAGCGTTGTTGAATCACTACGCTTACACTTGAAACTACTGTAACACTGTGTTCCACCATACTCAAACAAATAGAGAGACAGAGAGAGAAAGCAAAATCTGTTGTCTGAGCGCTACAGAAAATAAAAGAAAGAATGGGAAGGGAAGGAAAGGCATGACATGGAGTTTCACGGAAGTCAGAACTAATTCACTATATGCTCCATGAGGGAGGCACTTTTATTATCTAGGAAATTGCTTTCTGACAATATTTATTTTTTTTTAAAAATTTTTTTCTTCAACGTTTATTTATTTTTGGGATAGAGAGAGACAGAGCATGAACGGGGGAGGGGCAGAGAGAGAGGGAGACACAGAATTTGAAACAGGCTCCAGGCTCCGAGCCATCAGCCCAGAGCCCGACGCGGGGCTCGAACTCACGGACCGCGAGATCGTGACCTGGCTGAAGTCGGACGCCTAACCGACTGCGCCACCCAGGCGCCCCGCTTTCTGACAATATTTAAATGAAACATTTAAATATTTTCTTCTGTTCTTAATTTCTTTATGTCATTATCATTCTTTGCTTCCTGTTGGCCATATGGTCCATTTAAAAGATATGCTAATCCCTCAGAAATCTATTTTGGGATATGTTTTCTAAAGGTGTCTTTTATTTTTATGATAATAAAATTTCCAAGACTATTGGACTATCCCTCTATTTCTCATCTGTGATCACACTTGTGACCTCTTCTATTTGAAGTTATAAAGCCACCCAGTCCCTTTTTATTTCCTCTCCACTTCGTTGGAATATATATAAATTCTTTATCAACCATATTCACGGAAATGACTCACTTCATGTGGGGGAGGAGGACTTAAAGGCCAGCTAGTGAGCAGTATCTGGCAGCATCAGCTTTTAGTGCTAGGTAAAGTTTTCTGCCCTTGGGCACAATCCTTACTGTTAGTAAACAGCATTTTCACAAGGAGGATCATAATTTATTTTTGATGCAGTAACACAGTAATCATTTGAGACACATGAATTATTTATCAACTATTTCCAGATAAGCATAATCTAAGGGGTAGGAACATGTGAAGAAGATAAAGCAGCACTTATGATAATAAATATAATGTAAAATGTCCTTCCCAAAGAGCCAGGCAACATGTCCTGTGAAGAATTCTATAGGGCATAGCGGATATTAAAAACAATTATAATAAAGTACACTTCCCCATGAAATGCCTTTCTAAAATACTTACGATCTTATGCACATTCAAATATATGAAAAAGTAAAGACCAGCTTCTATAAATCTTGAGAAAACCTGTAAGATTTTTGTGACCTAATAATAATGGTAGTAGTAAGAAGAATTAGAATTAGAACTGCTCACATTTACTGAGCACTAGGCTAAGTACCTGAAATAGAAATGCTCAAGCCTAAGTAGTCTTACACCAGTGCTCACGTTCTTAATCGCAGAGCATCATACATGACCATAAACTGACACATAATGAATAAAGATCAAGAAAAGCAACTGACTTCCAAGGTCTTGCATTTTCCATTGAGCCTGGTGCAGAGCCACTGGTAGTTGGTGGTTAGAGTGTCAAGTTCCTTCTGTAAGGCCTCTCGTGCTGCAGGGGGAGCCTCAGCTATGACACTATTGACGGACTCGGTAAGGAGTTTCACTTTTGCTTCTTTTTGCTGGGCCTCTTCCTTAGCTCTCTGAAAAATAAAGAATGCTCTTTCTCAATAGTGAGTGAGGCAATGGCTTTACTTCCAAAATGCATTCCTGTCTATCATATACTTTCTTCCCCACAAGATTCCAGTTAGATCCCTATTAGAAGATGAATCAAAATAAATCCAATGGTGACTATAATAACTTCCATTAATTTAGGTTTAGCTAGAATTTGGAGTCAGAAAGAAAAAAAATATCATCAGAACATAACAGCACTTTAATCAGAATGGTGTGCAAAGCAGTCTACATGTGGGTATGTATTTGTGGTGTGCTCTCTTTCTTTCAAATATAAATGTGTGTGTATGTGTGTATACACATGCCTACACACACAGAGAGAGAGACACACACACATATAAAACAAGAAACAAGTATTTCAGTACTATGTTCAAAAATATCCCATACTCTAGAATTGAAATCATTTATAAATTACTCAGATGGATGAGTAATATTGAAATCAGTGCAATTATCATTGTCTAAATCGAAAGATAATTGATATAAAAAAGTCTTCTTAATGCTACATCCAGGTCCGTATTTTGACAAAAGAAAGTTCTATTCAGTAACTGAACACATACGACAGAAAGAGAATAGCAGCCTCTGCTAGGAAGGAGGCTACCTGGTACTCAGCCATACCTTTTTGCTCTTCTCAGGTCGAAGATAAATTGTTTCACAGAATATCGACATCATGCAAGGCTACTTTGTTACCATTGTGGACCATGACAACAATACCACTATATTCCATAGCCATGTTAGAATACATACAAAATATAAACACTGTCCAAACCACACAAACCCAAACACTTCCCGGTCCCCATTGATACGACTCTGTGCTGCTTCTTTATCAATTCTACTGCCAAATTTACTCTAGTATTCCTTCATTCCAGGACAGATTTATTAAGCTACCAATCACAGAGTTATTCCCAGGCAGTGACAACATGCAATCCAAAGCAAAGCTCTTCAACTCTCCCTCAAATCATTTCTCCCTCAAATCATTTAACACCAGCCCAAATCCTACCACAGGTTCTAATATTCTCTGACTCCTACAACCAAGTTAGGTCCATATAATTGGACAAGTTGGGTTTATTACAGAAGTCCTTTCACTGGTTGAAGGCTGTTGGGGGAATGCTAATTTCATCCTAGTGAGGCCTGACACATAGGTGGGAAAGGTGGGATTCAGGAAGCACAAAAAGCCCTTACATAAAGAAGAACAGTTTCTGGCAGGGGGAAGTTGGACCTACATGCAGGGTAGTGAGTGAGAGTAAGGGGATATGGGCAAAAAATGGACAAGCTCAGCTATAAAATGCCTTTGTATGTTTCAACACAATCCCCCTATGCTTTTGGATTTACTCCCATAATACCTTAAAAGTATACAATATGATGACAAATCCAAGTTGTTTTGAATACTAAATGATTGCCTTCATTGATTTTAATTTATTTCATTGAAAATTTTAGTTGAAAATTCTCCAATCTGTTTTTGCTATTACTGACCATGAGCTCTGTGTCTATACAAACCGTATTTTGACTACAGTAATTTTAGCATTGCAAACAATTCTGACAACATGAATCACTTCGTATGTGCTGCTCTGGGCCATGACAGACATGCTGTAGGTGCTACTTTGGTGGTTCTTTAACAAAACCTTGCAGAATACTCAACATGAGAAAAGTGAGTTTCAAAGTGTTTAGGGAAGTCATCCTGGAATCTACATCTTCTTTCTTCTAGTTTATGTTAAGCCCATCTCAAATCCTCCACGAAATGAAGAAGCATGCTGTGCAGTATGCAATGAATGCAATTACATTTCATTCAAGTTACACACAACCCATACAACTACAAAAAACGCAGGATGAGAAACATTTCTTTCTTCCTTTGTAGGCTTGCATAAATTCTTTTTTAAACAAGCTTAGAAGCAGGGAAACAGTCACAGGAGAAAAGGTGGTAAAATTTTTCCACCGGAAGAAAAGGTAGAAAACTAAATAATGGTTGGTAGAATTTAGGTAAAATCCTCATCAGAAATTATGTTTTTTTCCTCCCTTTGTTTCCATGAACCTAACCATCATATGCTCAGACACCTTTCATTGCCAGTATCTCAAATCGGTGGTTCTCAAAATATGGTTCCTTGAAACCACTTTGGAACTTGGTCCCTGGCATCACCTGACAATGTGTTCAAAATAAAAATTCTCAGGTTTTCCTCCAGACTTACTGAATCAGAACTTATGAGGTGGGGCCTAAAAGTCTGTGTCTGAACAAGTCCTTTAGGTGAACGTGATGCTCACTCAGTTGTAAGAATCACAGTTCTAGTCTGTTACACATACGACAACAGTAAATACATCTTTGTAATTCTGGGAAGCACAAGGACTGGGGTTACAAAAGTGTAGTTAAAAAAATATATAAAGAAGAAAACGTTGAAAGTGAAATATCAGAGATTTTTTTAAAGGTTTAATGTAAAGTTTTACCATTTAGACATTGTAGAACTCCAAAAGAATTTTGAAATCAGGTGTTGTTTATCAAACACTCCCCTAGGTTCTTTTATGTTAATTAAAAGGTTTTATTTATAGGGGCGAAAAGAAGTTACGAAAACAGCACTATCATTTTCATTAAAGCACAGGAAATAGAATAAATACACGGAAGGACATCTCCACTTTTTCCCTGAGTAAATTAGGGAGAGACGTCTGAGTAGGTCTGCCAGTCTCTTTTGACAATGAAGATAAATGTGCTCTCAATGTGAGCACAGGAGGAAGACTGGACAAGGTACCATCACTACCCTCTAACTAGTGAAACAGACCTGAAGGGATTACCTTGATTGGCAGGCAAAAAAAAAAAAAAAAAAAAAA